TTTAAATAAAAAAAACAGTTTTCTTCATTGTTTAAGCATGTATTTTGAGGATTAAATACTTTTAAGGACTGGGAGGTTCTTTTTCTTAATCTAGTAGCAAATAGACACTCCGTCCTCTTTACTGGAGATTTGGATGATGTATACCACCATCTTGTCATATCCGTGGCATTATCATTATGTATGGCAACAGGAAGAGGAGAACATTTTATTCATATCACATACCAGGGACTAGACTGTAGCTTAAATTGTCACAAAATTGTGGGCAGCTGGGAGGAAAATGTGTAATCATAAGAGATTAGTGTTAAATGCTGGTCTGATTTTCAGGTTTATTAAGGGCAAAATATATTAAGACTGGAGATGAGAATTAAGAAAAGGAAATCTAATCCTGTTGTTAAACTTTTTTCTGTCTTGTACCAAATTTGTGCGGAAGAGTGTTGGAAGAAGGAAGGAAGGAAGGAAGGAAGGAAGGAAGGAAGGACCCTCTTGTCAGATATATAAAATGATACCCAAGATTGTCTATAATGAGACAATGAGTAATGCAATACAAGTATTTATGGGGCTACAGTATTATTATTGTTGTTGAGGTGGTGGGATTGTTTGCAACAAAAGTTATAGTAAATTTGGTAATAGTCAAAAATATTCCAGCCCATGTTTTACTGCTTACAAATAAACTTCAAAAACGATGGTAAAGTTAACTAAAATGCAATTAGTATTTACTGGAATACAATTCTAAAATGAAAACTAAATCCAATTAAGGTTCACTCCTATGATTTCAGGAGTGTGGCTATTTCAGGGATTTATAGTTTGGTATGCATATCTTTTTCTCTTATCAGATGCATATAGACATAGGGAAAGAAGCCAATTCTTAGAAGGGAAATTCTGGTCTCTCCAAATTCTACCAGTTTGTTAAAAGTAGTCCAGCAAATAAGTGATTTTTCCACTCCGGAAGCCCAATTTCAGAACAAAAGAAGTGCTATTGGTTTATTATCATGAGAGGCTGAGAATTTTTAGGATATTTTCAGATGTATTTTCATACTTCTCCCTGGTATACCTTTAAATGGAAGAAACATGACAACAGCTCCAGACAAAGTGCAGTTAATCTTTGATTACTTCACAAGCAGTCAGAGAGGAAAATCTTAAAAGAAAACAAAGCAGAATAAACAGGCATAAACATAAGAATAAAAAGAACCATTTCCATATTTTATCAAAGCTGTTTTGCCTCACCTTTTCCTCCTTTTTTTTTTTTACCTTTGTAAGGTCTTCCTTCTCTTTGAGTAATGTAGATAAGATAAAATGAAACTAATTATGGAGTATTATATATTTTATTTTGAAAATCACCAATAAAAAAGAATAGAGGGCAATCCAATATTTTATTTAAAAGAAAATACTGTGTAATATGGCCCTAATATTTGCAATTAAAACTGAATTAATGTTTAGAAAAAATGAAGCGTGCATTAAACAGTATTTTCTGTTAAGTTCATTGATTGGCATTCAGTTGCAACTCATTAATTCAATTCCATGTATGATCATATTCTATAAAGGTTATATGATTAATATCTGCAGTGAAAAAGATTAAAAAAGAATTACAACCAAAATGTAGGAAGGTACAAGATTTATGCAAATATTTAATCTTTCAACATGTACATGACACTTGTTTTTATTTAAATGTGAGTGAGAAAAAGATTAAGTTTCTTTAACTGTCTAGAAAGAGAATAAATGTTCATTTAGAATATGCAATCATAAATCTTGATACTTGCATGAAAATCTCACATGCTATAACTAATCATCTACTCAGAATTTATATTTTTTGAATGTATGAAAACTTTATTTCTGGTTTGATATGATTTAAATGTATACGAAGCATGGTAGTCTAATTTGTTAATCCAAGTAGTCTCTGACCCTGGTCTTCAATCTTCAACTGTAATTAACAAGCAGGTTCCCACTTTGTTCCCACAAAGATGAAAGGTGATTAGGGGATTGGAGGCTAAAACATATAAAGAACAGTTGCTGGAATTGGGTATGTCTAGTTTAATGAAAAGAAGAACCAAGGGTGACATGATTGCAATGTTCCGATATCTCAGGAGTTGCCACAAAGAAGTGGGAGTCAAATTATTCTCCAAAGCACCTGAGGATAGGACAAGAAGCAATGGATGGAAACTAATCAAGGAGAGAACCAACCTAGAACTAAGAAGAAATTTCCTGACAGAACAGTTAAATAGTGGGACAACTTCCCTCCAGAAGTTATGAATGCTCCTACACTGGAAGTTTTTAAGACAAGATTAGACAACCATTTGTCTGAAATGCTATAGGGGATTCGGGCCAAGCAGGGGGTTGGACTTGAAGACCTCCAAGATCCCTTCAAACTCTGTTTATTCTATTCTATTCTATTCTATTCTATTCTATTCTATTCTATTCTATTCTATTCTATTCTATTCTATTCTATTCTTGTTGAATGCTGCTGATGTAACCTTTTTAAAAAAAAATTATAGTAGTAGCTAAGAAAACAGACCTCTTTCTTTTCTGAAGGAAAACTCATTATCAACTATTTTAAGACCATAGTTGATCTTTTCTAAAAGCTTAACAAAATATAGATAGCAAATTGGTGGCTATAAGCTAGAGCAGGGCAACTTGCATAGATAGATGGATGTTATTTTCTAGTCTTCAAATTCCTGGAGAAGGTGCAATTTTCTCTCTCTCTCTCTCTCTCCTCCCTCCCTCCTTCCCTCTCCCTCCCTTCTCTCTTCTCCCTTAAAGAGAGTTCCCAATTTTCTTTGTCATTTGAGTCTTCCAAAACAAGGGAGTTGCCAAACTGCTATATAACATACATATTTCATGTACAAGGACTTTTCTCTTTAGAAACAATTCAATTCAAATATTTGAAGGCTTTCTTTGGATTCTGCTAATATGCTCATAGCTTCGAGACAGAATTTGTTTCAAGAGAAGGACAGATTTGGATAAGCAAGCTCACTTATTGGCTTAAATTGACAAGTTTAGCTCTTATGAGTCTGCTAGATAACTTTCACTGAAATAGAAAGAAGACCTTGGAGATAAAATAATACAACTATGGTCTGTTTAAGTTGTCTTGCAATCCTTGGATTTGTCTAAAGTTAAATGTATAGCAAAATGGCAAATAATAGATATTGATTTACAGAGAAATAATGCTAAGAACCCAAAGAAATAAAACCTAAAGAAAACATTTTCCTTGAATATATATATTTTTAATAGAATGAAGAGATTTCAAAATGCCACAAGGCTTTCATCTTAGCTTGTTTTAATACCCTGCCTTTGTCCTTACTGTAAGGAAAACATTGATATATTTCTTTGCATGTGTTTTTTTCCTGCAGGTACAATTGATATTGTGTCACATATGCTGTTATGTCATCGGTTTTATAATGATATCCATAGCTAACTCAAGATTATATAAATGTTTCGGTTTATTAACTGTTACAAATTGATTTTGCTTTGGGGTCATATTCTTTGTGACCTGGTTCCTGATCATGGACCATAATACTCTGATCTAATGTGATAATAGCAAATGTAATTACAGTATATCCCTTATTCCAACAGCAAACAATAGATTTTTGTTTTGTAATGAGGACATTTGCTTTATACTCTTTGAAATACAGTACTAACACCACAACCAAAAAGACTGATAAATTTCAGGTTTGTTTGTAATTAATAAAATGGTTGAATTGTGATACCTTTAAGCAGTCAAATGCCCTATTTTTCATGTTTTCACTTGATTTATCATAGTTGCTTTCCATTTTCGAGTATAATGTTACTTTTGGGCTCAGTCCAGGTAGTGAGCATTATAGTTTCAATAATACATATATAAGATACAATATCTTTATCTGTATAAGATACAAACTGGAATGCAAATCAATGTATATGGTAATATTAAGATATTTTCAATATTGTTAAACTATGAAGAATGATATTCTTTTAATTATAGTTTATTTTCTTGCTCACCATTTTTGCAGGAAAATATATTTCATATCCTACAATATTGGCCTTGAGAGCAAATGGATTGAAATTTAAAATTGCTCAATGAAAGATCCTCAGGGAAGTTTCTTAAACAAATCTCTTACACTGTATATTAAGTGTCAATTTAACGGAAGTGTGAAAATATAGAAAACAGTCCCGCTATTCAGAAGATCATTAAAAGAACATTGTGTTGTGCTAATAATAGGCAATTAATACAGGGAACCATAATCTTTGCTCATACTCAAAAGAATCTTTGGTAGGTGAACTACAACTTTTAAATCAATAGCTTTGTAATATTTTAGGAAATTGAAATGTTCTTTCATTTCTATTATTAATTTTACAGCCATTACTATCAAATGGTAAGAAAGCTTATTTAAGAGACAGCTTGTCTGCCATTTCCAGTCTATTTTTCAGAGGTGTAGATGTCCTTTCCTATCATGGAGATTGTTCATGATAGCATGTAGGTCTCATTTATATCCCACATGAACAGAAATAGATAACCATGCCAAGATGCTGATTCAGCAAGGAATTTTCTGTGGATTGACAAGTATTGGAGGTAGAAAAACCACTGCTCATGATATTCAAAGTATTGGGTAGCTCTTTGCAGACTGGAAAGTGGCATACCCTCATATGGTGAGACTCACAATAATTTAATTCATGTTGGAATTTGGTTTGTATTGCACTGGCAGCATTTTTACTTCATATAAGTGTACACAAGTGTCCTATTTCATTGTTGTTTGTTTCAGAAGATAACTCAAAATGTTGGGTCCTGGAAAATAAAAGAAATGCTCTTGAGATACACCATTACTGCCTTGGGTAATTAATTAATGAATTCACAGCAAGGAGTTAGGAAATGTTTACTGTGATAGTAATGTTTCTCATGGATCCCTCTCAACTGCAGTTTATTTAAGGCATTAACATGTTGGCATTGTCTTTTTGTCTTTTTCTGCTCCTCCTCTCCAACCAACTCCCCCCCACCCAATTCCCTCCACACATTTCACTCTGATGTGAAATAGAAAGAACGAGAGAAAGGTTCTAACCTGGCATTCATGTTTCGATTGCCCTTTGCTGCTGGCAGAGTTTTCAGTATCAGCATGCTGGACACCTTGCTGTATCAGGTACAGTGAAGGGTAAATGTATTCTTTAAAAAAAACAACCAAATCATTTTGATTTTCTGAAGAATCACTTGGGTTCCTGTGTTCTTAAGAATCCCTCTATCTACCAAGTTAAGCCATAAAGAGAGAACTCTGTTTATCCTTGTTTTCATCAGGACCTCAAGACAATATACACAGCATTCCTCCTTTCTATTTTTCCCCTGTTGGACTGAGAGAGGGCCTGGTCTCAAGTTACAGAGACAATTTTCTTTCCTGAGGGTAGGCTCTTGGTCCAACACCTGAAAGCCACTCTATCACATAGTGAGCTGCCCCACTCACCCACTCACACGCACACACACAACAATGATTTAGTGAGTTTATTAATGTTCCCCAGCAATTCCCTTCACCAAGACTCAGAATTGTCTTAAATAAGTCCAGCCACAAGCAGGCCAAGATTAGTCCACAAAGCAATGGGCCAATAGTCCATAAAACAATTGAAAGTTGCTCAAACAAATAAGTCTACCAAACTAACTTAAATCCAACAGGGAAAATTTAAACATGAGAGCTCTCTTGGCAAGAAAGTCTCCAAAGCACAATTCCAAACATAGCAAAGCAGGAAGCACGACTATCAAACAAACACCTACAAAACCAACACATTGCTCCCAGCAATGTCTCCCTCTACCTGCTGTCATAAATAGCCAGCTCTCTAGTGCAGTCCATAAGATGGGTGGGGCCCTTTCTTCCCAAGTAATCTGGCTGATCTCCATTGCTCCTGCCTTTTCTCTGCCCTGCATTCTCTCAGATCAGTGCAGAAGGCAGCTCCTCCTACTCTTTGCTGGAGGTCTTCCTCTGTAAGTTTTCCCCAGCTGAAGCCTCCTCCAATTCTCTTTCAACCAGCTATTCAGAGCCATTGATCAACTCCATTTCTGATGTGCCAGAAATGAGCTCATTCTCCCTTGAGCTGACCTCTGAGGAAGAATCCAAGGGAGACATCACACATAGCTTTCAAAGCTTATAAATCTTATACTTAATTTCCTTATTTTAGAAGTGTAACTCTTAATGGTCAGTCATTTAATAATACTTCCATGTTGCATATTTGAATGTGCTGTGTAGACATATCAGTGCATCCACATCCATACATATTTATCATTTTTAACTTTTAGGATTGCTCTAGATATAGCCCAACATGTCTATACCATTAAAACTGCAACCAAACAGTTATCGCATTCTGGCATGTGAACTAAATGGGAGACCATTTTTCAAAAATTAGGGTCAAGGGAACAAAAGCTGGGCACGCAATACAATTTCAAGATATTCATTTTTCATCACAGTACTTACCACAGAGTTAATGAATATGCTGCTGCCGAGTTGTGCTTAGGGAGCTATGAAGTTTCAAACAACCCCATCGTAGCACATCTAGGCTTCAGATGTTTGCTGCCATTAACAATAAAAATGATGCTGATTTTTTTTTTCCTGACCTGAGTTTCATCTCTGAGCAACTAAACTGTGTTCTTGTCTTTGCTGATTATTTGTTTGAAAAGAAAGATTTTGAAAAACAGGAGCTCATCAGTTTAAAAAAAAACTGTAGAATTGAAAACTAGAGTACAAGTTTTACTGCATAGAAAGGCATATTACTCTACATAAATATCATCAAGAGTCTGGGCATCTTATCAAACTGCATTAATGCATATGGTTTTTTGTCATCATTTTTAAAAAGTACAAGAAAAAGACAGGTCTGAGATATAGGATTGAATTAGGTCTAAGACATTCACCATTTGATGATATAGCATTTCCTGACTTAAAAATAGTTCTACCATCCCAACAGGGGAAATCCATTTACGTTGTGAAAACATTTTACAACATGCTTGTAAGCCAATCAGGTCTCCAATCCTTTGTTCTTCTTAAACAATTTGTGTGTTTTTTCTGGTATAGTATTACTATACCAGAAACTACCTATTGCTTCTAGCAGGCTTGTTTTCCAATTATATAAACATAATTGAGTAAATGAGTCAACATCTTTCCAGTGAATAAAAGCCGTTTGGAGGGTTTTTTTCCTCTCCTTGTCTTGCTTTGTCTTGTTCCTTTTGAGCCAAACAGCCAGTGGAGTCTCTGTAATAGAAATACAAATTTGTTAGGGCAACTTTCTGTCATTTAATTAGTTTATTTTTGTCCATGCAGGGCAAGGATCTCTCCAAGGTTTCAGTTAACTGAGATCCTTGTGCTGTCAGGTGCATGAGGGCCAGTTTAGACCTTACAGTATGAATTAAAGCTATTATTTATGCTATTTAGTACAGTGTATTCACCGTCCATTAGAAACCTGGAAAAGAACTGAAAAAAATTTGCCAAGGTTGGAGAAAGAAGTCATTTAATAGTGGGTATATAGCAGATGTATAGCTTTCAAAAGACAATCATTGTATCAGCCATAAAGCCAGGTTTCTCTGCATCAAATGAACATCCGCCACACACAAAAACGGCAATTTCTACTTTCTGTGGATATTAATTACTTCGCTGATGTTTTAAACATTTCTTATGTTATTTTAAATCTTTAGTCATTCGTTAAGGATTACATGATCTCTATCACTAGACTTCTGCTGGGACTAGATACTACACCAGGATCTGGATTTCTCTGTTCTGTAAGTTAACGCTTTTAAACTATTTGATTAAATTCTGTGTCCCATTTTTCTCTTTTTCCTCTGCAGGGGGTAGTTGGGTATTGTCTCTATGAAGGGATGGTTGCCATTTCTTTAGTGACAGAAAATGTGTTCAAAAGGACTACTTGCAAAGCACTTATACGTTAGTTATTGAGAAGACAAGTGAAGAAAGGGAAAGAAGCTGAGGTAACATAGATGGAAGGTAGAGATGTGTGAACAAAAGAAAGAAACTGTGTTTGCAGAGACAGACTGAAGCAACTTTCAAAGCAGCCATATCAAACCATTTTTCCCCCTGAAGGATTTGATGGCCCTAGTAGATAGGGAATTCTACAACAAGTTAAAATGTAATGCAGTTGTTTCATTTAAATTTAAAAAGTACCTATAACAATACAAAGCACAAAGTTTGCGATGATTTTTTTTTTCAGTCACAAGCTGCACTTCTCCTTCTGTACTTGTTATATGTGGCATATGTAATAACCACACACTTCTAGAACCTGGACCTGGATTGATATCATATATTATGCTCAGGAAGGGCTGAAGGACTGTAGAGTACAATAAATAATGCTTTGCTTTGTAAGATTTGTTGCTCACTGTAATATTTTGGGTGATCCTGTTTGAATGAATAAATAAATCAGTGATTTGAGCTGTGCTGTTTCTGTTCTTATTGCTTAGATGAAAATCACAGAAGATGATTTGTGGATCAGAACATATGCCAGACTTTATCAGAAGCTTTGTTCTTCAACTGGAGATATTCCTATAGGAATCTACAGGACCGAATCACAGAAATTAGTGACATCTGAGGTTTGGACATTTTCATACAGACATTTGTAAAGAATGTGACCCATGAAATTTTTGTAATGATTTGTGGGGGAGTAATTTTATTTAGCAATATTTCACTTACTTTTCACTCATACTGACTGATATTTCATTATGGGATAATATTTATCCCTTATAGAATGCTTCTGTTCATGGTACATATAAAATATGAAGGGGCATCATATGTCTTAAAATATTGGTTGCTATGCCATGGATATGCTTCACACAGCATTGATTTTAGCCTCTCACATCTATCCAGTATGTGTTTGGGGATCACATATATATTCTACATTAATAGTTTCTAAATTGTTCTGCTAAGGTGCAAGATATAAATTGGTTTAGGTCCAAGCCCTCTGTTCCCAGAAGAATATGTTTACATGATTCTCTGCTCTGGCTTTTCTTCTCTTCTAGTAAATTCTGCTAGAAGAAAGCTACTCTCTATTGTGAATCACTCGGCTCACATTCAATTATTGAAAAACCAGGCACATATGAATCTATTTATAGTTTCTACAAGAATATTTGAGTATGTAGAGAAAGAGGTCAAAGCTGGATTTGTTCCCCTTTGTCCTCATAAACATAGTTATCCCTATAAATTGGCATGTGCAAGTAAAACTCTTTCCATGAAAATTCAAAGAGCACATCTGAAGAAACCTATACATTATATCCAGACACACTTCTATGAAATGTCTATAGAGATATTCAGTCATACAGGTTATTGTTGCCCCAAAGCTGCTTTTTCAAGAGACAACTGGACTTTTTTTTTTCTTTGAAGATATTTCGCTTTTCACTTTTCACATCAGCTGAAGAGCTTCCTGGATGAGAAGCAAAACGTCTTCAAAGAAAAACAAGAAAACCTAGTTGCCTCTTGAAAAAGCACCTTTGAAACTTCCATGAAATGTTGTTCAAATCTTATTTCCAAATGAGAAAAAATTATACCAAAAACCTTCATCGTTTTGTATAACTCCAACCCCAAATTTTTGAAGCTTTCAAAGTTACCTTCCAAAGCCTGTGCCATTTCTCAGATCCTTGGAAACAATATTTAGGGGAAGAAATACCAGGGTTTTGATGATTAAATAACTAATCATCATTGGGGAGTGGAAAGGGGGTGAGCAAGAGACTGATTTGTTATTGTTATTGGATTATGCCACCATAAAAATAAAATAAAAATATGCTTATTTAATTTAATCATAGCAAATATAAAGCGCTTGTTTGTATAGCCATCTACCTTGAGATATAGCAACAATTATATTATAAGAAATATAAATTGAAATGAAAATTCAAGACAGCAAGGAGGGTGGAGGGGATCCATAATTATGTAAGTTTGGTTGGAGGACAATTTTCAATCTGATACTAGCATTAAATATTCATGCATAACGGTTCCATTTCATTTCAGTACATAAAGAAATGGAGCATGCCATGATTATGCAAACTGTAATGGCTTTAAAACTATGATATAGAAGATATTTTGGTTAAGTAGTCCAACTTATCTGCAGAATTTGGTAATTTTCCCTATGATTGCTTGAACTGGTATTTAGTATTAAATGAATATTAGTTTATAGCGAGGCAAGTTTTCCTGAATTAAAGCAGAATTATATATTGTCAAGTGCATAATCCTACTTCTTTGTCCTTGCCTCCTCCTAAGGCTGACAAAGAATGACTGGCAAGGTCACCCAGCTGGCCTTGTGATAAGGCAAGACTAGAATTCATGGTCTCCCAGTTTGTAGCCTAGGGCCTTACATGGCAGCAAATTGGCTCTCATTCTGACTTAGTAGTCCACAAAATTTAACAATGGTGATATATATGAATCTTTATGTATTTGTCATAATGTGTATGCCATCATTTTGTAAAAACTGTTGGTAGCTCAAATACATATTTAGTCCTTGTGTTACAAGCATCCATTAATATATGTCTGTGTAAATGTTCCACCCATTTGGTTGAGGACTAGAGTAGTTCAGACATGGGTACTGTTAGCATTGCCCCAATATACTTATCCATCTTTTCTTAATATTCCTATGCTGAGTAGAAATACTCAATAGGAATATTAATTCTAACCCTAATGAGGATTAGAAACGCTTTTCTTTTTTTTCTTTCCTTTTTCTTTTTAGTATCTCGGTTTTGTTAAACTTGTTTTTGTTTTAATTTTATAATGAAAAGGAATCCCAGAGTTGGAAGGATGCATAAATGGAGCCACCAAGCCCATTTCCTGCCCAGTGCAAGAATCCAGATTAAAGCATGCTAGGCAGATGGCTGTCTAGTCTCCCCTCAAACTGATGCATTGAAGAGAAGCCCACCAGTCCCTGAATAACTGGTCCCATTATTGAACTGCTTGTAACATAAGGAGGTTTTTCCCGACATTCAATAGGAATCTACTGTGCTGTAATGTAAATTTATTCTTCTATGTCTTGTACTTTGAGATAATAGAGGATATACCCTGAACTTCTGTAGGCAATAGCTCCCTTCTTGTGTCCAGGCCTAATTCATAATACCAGGTATCTATCTACCTATCTATCTATCTATCTATCTATCTATCTATCTAATCTATTTTCTATCCATCTAGTCACATGCAGTCTGGCATGTCATGGGATGCCTGTTAGATCTCTTCCATGTAATATATATTTATTATATTATGAAGGAGCATTCAATCATAAGGACCTCCATCTGCAATTTAAAACATTCTAGCTGGGAAGAATTTTATTATCTCAACTATGTAGCATAGTATTTAATTTGAATCTGTTATTTATGTGTGAAATTGGCATTATTTGCCTGAGTTACCATTTTAAATTACTTGCAAATGCATAAATTGCATGACTGGAATGGATTGTAACACTGAAATGTGAAAACATAGAATAATCTCCTCTATATATTAAGTACAGGAATAATTATTCTTGTATTAGAATACAGTTCAGCTGTTATAGAAATTAATTCAGGGATGTGTTTTCTCAAGTGCTTAAGGAAATTTTGAAGTAATTGTATTTTTAATTGTCCATTCAAATATTATTTACTGAGGCAAGAACCTTAGTCTATAATATGAAGCCTTCACTGTTTTAATGAATTCACTTCCCTCTTTGTTAAGATTTAATGTAAAACAAACTTGCACAAATTCTTTGATGTTAAAATTGGTATAAACATTTATTAGTAAAAAGCCCTATTAAATTTATTATATTCTTGGTCATGTTTAAAATAGATTTCAATAGAAATTTGATCAATAGAAATTTTCCATATCATATGTATACTTTTGTTTTTATTTGGAACAGTGTTTCTCAACCTTGGCCACTTTAAGATATTTGGATTTCAATTCCCAGAATTCCATGGCTAGCTGGAGAATTCTGAGAGTTGAAGTCCACACTTATTTAAATGGCCAAGATTTAGAATCATATTATAGCTGGTAGAAAACAGAAGAAAGACAGTTAAGAAATGTGGTTAATCAGGCGTTTTATCCTATACTCAAACCTGAAATTTTGTCATGACATACTATGGAAGGATTTAACTCTATATTTCCTTGCACAACCATAATATCATGAAATTGTCTATGTGTTTTCTTTGTTTGGAAACTGTTGTTTGAATGGTGTTATGTTTTTTTTCCTCCTTCTGATTTCCATTTTTTGTCAGTCTCGAGAAATTGCTTCACAAGTAAGTATCTGTCATGTGTTACTATGTCCCTTGTGTTGGCCTAAAAAGTAAAATCTGTAGCAAATCAAAGCAAATATATGTGTCCCAGGATAATGTTGCAAGATCTAATCTGGGGTCTGAGCTTTTGAACCCATGCTGGAGCCCATCTTCAGGGTTCTACAGTTCCCTGGAGATGAGCACCAGCACAAGTCCGAAAGCTCAGAAAAGTACATCTCTGGTCAAGGTGACTGACCCAGATTAGATCTTGCAATAAAATCTTTAAACTGTCATACAGAGAAAGGCTGTATTGCTTCTAATCTCTGCCAATAATCTCTTCCAAATAGTTTCAGTCAGTCAGTAGTATAGAGTATAGGTCACAGTCATAATACAAGATGAAATATTATATACTTTTCTAAACATATATCACTTGCATATTTAAGAGTTCTCAGGATTATGTGTTCAACATAACTAAGGAGGTAAGCAGATATGTGTGAGGTTTTTGAGCTACTCCACTGCTTCTGCACATAGATATTGACCTTGTTAAAAGCAGGAATATGATTTAACTTCCTTGAATACATAGCTTTACATATACTGTACTTCATATCAAGGAATGAGGAGATGGAGTGGACATAATAGTGGAATGGAAAAATACATGAAGAGATCATGAATCTTCAGTGTTTGGCTCTGTGTGTCTGTGTCTATGTGTGGACATAATTTAGGCACAGCATTAGTGTGTACAAAAATATGAATGAAGGTACAAATTTATATAAATGTACTTGTAAACATACTTGGCTTTTATATATAATTGTTTAATATTGATTAAGCAAGTATCAAAAGCATAAACACATCATTTCCTTTGCATAATTCATATTGTGATTTCATAGGGGTGGATATTGGCTAGGCCAGTGGTTGTCAACCCATGGTCCATGGAGTCTTGGGGGCCCACAATGTCATCACAGGGGGTCCATGAAGATTTGAAGAAATGTTATGATTTAAATATTGAGATTAGTCTTGGAGGTCCATGTCCATGGTCCATGGCCACAAAAGTTATTTAAAGGAGGGTCCATGGTGAAGAAAAGATTTAAAACCTCTGGGCAAGGCTCGTAAGATTGGAATCAAGAAAATGAAGAATGGGAAATAGCATAAGAAACTTAAGGCAAGATTACTTATATGGTGGAAAAGTATTCCCCAAAGGATTTAATTTCTTTCATGGTTTTCTCTTTAAAGTCTCAAATCTCTATCAGTGTGGAAGAGTGGGAGGACACCAAGGATAGTAAAGAACAATGTAACTACCGTAGCAACCACCGTAACTCAACATCAAGTGATCAGTCAGATCATCCTTTATTAAGACGAAAAAGCATGCAGTGGGCTCGGCGGCTAAGCAGAAAAGTACCAAAGCATTCAGCGAAAACAGCAGAGAAAATAAGTCAGCAGAGAATGAATCTTTACAGAAGGTCAGAAAGACAAGAACTAGCCGAACTGGTGAAAAACAGAATGAAACATCTGGGACTCTCAACAGCAGGATATGGTAGGTTACTGTGATATATACCCACACCAATGTACATAAAGGGGAGATAGATAAATGTTAGGGAAGTTCATTGGATCAGGAGTAGAATGGTAAATACTCTCTCAAAAATTCCTGAGAAAATTTAATAATCGTGGGTGAAAGTCACCTTCTCTTACAGATAACTAAGTGTTTCAAGTAAAATCAAATGTACAAATTGACAATTTTTCCTACATTTATATATCCATCTCTTGTAGAATTAGAACGTATGTTTTTTGACATGCATAAATAAACTTCCTATTAATTTTCATCTACAGCAGGGGTGTCAAACTGGATTTCTTCAAGGGCCAGATCAGCATTGTAGTTCTCCGCTGGCCAGGCGGGAGGAGACGGGATGGATGCCTCCTTCAGCACCCTGCTGGCCAAAATGGAATGTGGGGGAGCTGTATGAGGCTCCCTACACCCTATTTTTGGCTGCCAGAGGCACCACAGGCTGGTTCTTTGCTCTATTCCAGGCTGGCCCCATGGGCCAGATTTAAGCATCCCACAGGCCGGATCCAGCCCAGGGGCCTTGAGTTTGACATTCTGATCTACAGTGTGTGTGCTTGTCTTCAAGTCCACTTTGACTCTTGGAGACTGTCCTAGGGCTGAGGGAGAATAACCAGACTAAAGCCACCCAGCTGATTTTGTGTCTAAGGCTGGTCTCCCAGTTTCTAGACTGGTGTCTTAACCACTACACCAAACTGGCTCTCCTCATGCTACAGTAATATTATTTTATTAAATAGTAATGCTCTAGAGTAGTATTTGAGTGATAATAAACTTCCATTAAGAAAATATCACCTGAAATTTCTTCACTAAATTATTTACAGGCAAATGAATACAATTGTAGCTTTTGAGAAAAGACATTAAATCTTTCTCTCTTTTTCTAAAAAAACAAACCAAACAGATAAATTCCTCCCCTCTTTTTCCCTCGGAGTAACAATGTACAGTACTAAAGCTTGCTCAGTGTTCTCCAGGGTTTAACACAGAGAAGCAAAAGATGTCAACCAAACAACCCAGGTCAAAAATTCAACACATCACTCATAACAAAGTTCAGTAGCAAAATTATCATCAAAGACTGCTCCAGCAGGCCAGGCAAACAGTTCCAATATTTGTAGAAAATATGCTCAGTAACAGAGTGTTAGTTGGAAGGTGATAGAAGGAGAGCCTTTTCTGTCCTGGCATGTGCGCTTTGGGCACATGCCAAGAAAGAAGTTCTCACTTGGCCTTTTTTCAAGACCTTAAAAACATGGTTTTGTGCCTGAACCTGAGACCTGGGCATGGATTTGACCCTGTCTCTTGGTTGTATGGATGATAGTTTAAATTATGCCCAGCTGTTGTTTTTATTTGTTTTATTGTAAGCCACCTTGAATCATGTAGAAGTGAGAAGGCAGCTCACTTTTATATGATTCAATTTATAAATAAATACATAGGAATGAATTCAATCCAAAGTTTACATTGCAGAAGCTACTTGTATTCTCCCAAGCAGAAGTGATATTGCTCAGCTGCTCCCAAAACAACCACTACTTCTGAACTGTTCTTAAAACAATCTGGCAATTTTCCATCTTTCATACCCTGGGGCTCAACTTCACCAAATTTCAAGGACTCGCAGATTAGTCTCCACGGACTATTTAAGAAGGCCATAACTTTTCAAACTTTGAAGAATAATGGAGTCAGCAGTAGCATTAGATTCTGGAAACAGATTCAACATTTTTAAAATGAATTGAGTGCAAAGAACATACTAGGAATTTGCTGGACCTTTGTTCAAATATATTCTTCTCAATGTAAACTTAATGGAATAACCAGGTATAAAAGTATTGTACCTAATTCATTAAATATAATTATAATAAAAGTGACCATTTCCCTCTATTTTTGTCTACCTTTTTTTTTTTACTTTTTCTGACCACAGCATATAACATAACCATGGTCTATGTGGTTTTCTGTTTTTCTGCCTTTTCTTGTTTTTTAAAAAATTGCAAAAATATAACATTGCTTTTGATTTGATCAACTTTGATTGAAACATGACCTTTTCATCTGAGTAAATGTTATGATCAGTCATTCAAAACAGCCTTTATATTCTCTCCTCCCCCTTGTAGATGAAATGAATGATCACCAAAACACCCTTTCATACATTTTGATCAATCCTTCTCCAGACACCCGACTCGAGTTGAATGATGTTGTGTAAGTATGTGCCAGACTTCTGATTTGTACTTTCATGGAATACTTTTGTTTTTAAACTGACCTTTTAACTTTGAAAATAAATTTTCCAAATAATAAAAATGTTTACAGTCTGCTCTTCACTTTTTTGCCATTTCTTCTTGTTTGGATGATCTTGGTGTTTCTGGCAATCACAGCACTCTTGTTGCACACTATTTTTTATTCCTGTTTTATTTTTATTTTTTTTAATTTACACATCCAGCTAAGGATGTATTATTCTATAATTTAACTGTCTTTGGAAAATTGGCAAAGTAAAATCTGAATTGGAGCCAATGAAAGAAGTAGTAATGAATCAGAAGATAATGTACAGTTGCTTAGCTCAAAAAAAAAAAAAAAAAACCAACAACAACAAATAACAACAAAACACTTCACAAGCTTTTAATGCCAGGCAAGACATTGTTTAATAGGATCTTTATGTCTGGAGAAAGCTAAAGTGAATTGTTGGATCTCACTGCTTGATTATCTTCCTTTGTTTTATATATATATTTAAACATGTTGCTTGTAATCATCAGTTACAGAAATATTTTAGTTAGTCCAAAGGGAAAAGTATTCTAACATGTTTAAAGTACATTTGCAGAATTTCGAACGGAATGTTCTGTTCATCTGGATTTTTTTTCTTGTTAAACCTGATGAATGAGAATGGTCTTTCTTTGTTGTGTTTAGATACTTGATCCGCCCAGATCCATTGTCATATGTTCCCAAAAGTGCATCTTGCCAGAAAAACAGCTTCTGCAATGCCATTGGGCAAGACAACAGAGAAGAAACACAATTTTGATACATCACATGGTTCAATAATGGAAAGACATTTTTATACAAATAACTGTTTTGGAATTGAGTGGTGACGAATTAGTATAACTGGACTCTACTGAGAACTGGGATATAATGGTCAATGGATGTTAATGGAACAACTGTTTTATTTGAATTATAGAAATGATTCTGAAAAATTGTCTGAGATTTTTTAAATAATTATTCAGATCCTGGAATTAAAATGAGCAGAACTATAAAAAAAATCTAAGTAAGTATGCCATGGTTTGCTAATAGAAAGTAGAAAAAATAATAATGCTGTACTCAAAATCATATTTGTTATTTTGGTTTCAATTAACCACTCTGCAACCATTTCTTACCACAATATCATAGTGCATATTGTAAGTTCTGCATTCGAGATTTATAAAATTCTGATTTGTGCAAATAAAATGATAATGTAAGGAAGATTCGGACAATTCCCTTTTCTACTATCTTAAAATTGGAATTCCAAATGAAAGCTCAGTAAGTTTGTTGCTTGCTTAAGCTTTGAGCAATAATAATCATCCGTGTATTTTTATTGCCTCCTTTAGCCCATTATATTTTTATACACAACATATATTTTTCCAGAATTTTTAATTCCATGCTATTTTCAAACCATTGTTTGTTTAAATTTGACACACCTCTCCCCCCACAGTATTAAAACAATTAGAGCAAGTATACATTTCACAAATAGAAAAATAGACAATGGATCCCAAATGCTAAGAATGTAAAATGGTGTGGAAACCAATTGCCTTTAAATATTTATTAAAATTTGTACAGGAAGGAGGAATTTGGAAGATTTTAGGATTCATTGAGAACACCAAGTTATTTTGAAAAAAAAAATGTTTATTTGTGAATGCGTATTGCTAAATTAGGGACTGCTAAAGATGGGTTGAAGAATATGGACTCTCTGAAGATATAGCATTGCAGGTGCTTTGGGATGATTACCCAATCTATTCTTTTAATGGTAGGTCACTTGGAATGTCAAAACAGAAAATAAGTATTATATTTCTCCAGATTTCTGGAGTAAAGGAGATGACAGTTTCTCTGGGAGAAAAGACTTGGATTCCCAAAGCAATCCATAGATTTTTTTCGGTTTAGTGTAAACCAACAGTTTTAGTCTTGAATACAAATTCCAGTGTGTATTGTGTATACATAAAGAGTAGTTAATATAAAGATTCACTAGCCTGCAATTTTGCTGAACAAGAGGCAGAAATCTGGTAAGCAAAAGGTAAAAACAGGGGTCATATTTTTGACTGGGCTTTAACGATAATGTCTATTGTGGAATTGTAGGAGTCACTTCAGATGGCCAGTGATATGCCAGACAATATCTTGGTTTTAAATGAAACCATGTGAATGGTATCATCTTTCTTTACAGATCTTGATAGAATCAGGCTGCACAGAAACATGGTCAGCCCTCAGCCTTTTTAAAGGTGCCATCCAAAGTTTCTAATGGGAGTTGGGATGTTTATATAATTTTTACTTCTGTAACATTTGTAAATATGTAAGCTTTTCTGCTTTATATTATTAATTAATATAAAAGCTTACACCCGTAGGACAGAGGAGTAAGTTAGGAACAAGGCTGAGAGAAGTTTTAACTTATTATTCGCATTAAATGTACAGGTTTTGTTTTCTATATTATTTGAAAAAACTGCTACCAGTTTATGTGTACAAATAAAATGATGCCAAAATTGCTCAGCTAAATTATTCATGCATGTGATGATTGTTTACTGCATTTGATGGTGTTTTAAATGACTGTTGTATTCATTGTAAGGAAGCAGCTATAATTCCAGCCACATGCACCGATAATTTCTTTAGTTCTCTATTTTTGTCAGCTGTGTGAATGAATAAAAGCCATTTTCTTATGTAGAATATTCCTTCTAATCTGTAATGATTTCTACAAAATTCCCCCTCTGCGGTTGTCAGCTGAAGCCAAAATGCTTACATCAATGGGTGTATTTATAGAAAGAGATTGAAAAGATTATGTTTTAAATCAGTAGACATTTTCTTAGCTTCCTTGGAAAATGTGACTTGCCTTTATCACAAAATGCCTTGGATATTACCTACTCTTCCAGAAGTGGTTTATCTGAAAATTTAATACCTAGATGGAGTTATGAAACTACATAGATTCTGGATTGCTGGGCAAAGCATTAGAAATATGGTGAATGGATGTTGGGGAGGGGCTGGACTCAAAATATCAAGATGGTGATTACAACATATCATTGTCCAAATTTTATTGACACTGAGTGAACCCAGTAGATAAATAAAATTACCCATTTCAGGATAGGTAAATAAAATTGTCCAGAACAGCTGTGTAATGACCACAAGCATGGATAAATATAGGAAGAGTGTCTTTTGAGCACATTCTACATTAAGTATGGCATTGTAAAAATTCTGGATGCGTGTATGTTCTCTGCACATCACTCAGAGAGATCTTTTAAGACAAAAATATTTGAGCCGTATTTCAATAGAAGAATCATTGTTCAGAGAGCAAAGTAGATAGCATTTACTTCTTGCTCATCCATATCTTTTGACTTAAGCTACAGAAAACAATGTGGTAGCTTTTCTAGCAAATAAACAGCAAATAAAAAATTATATCAGTTCTTCCAGAAACAAATACAGAGGGCATCCTCAATAGTTACTGGCTGAGGAAACATTGTAATTGTGAAGCAGTGAGGCATGTGATCTTCACAGATACATCTTATCCAGTGGTGGGATTCAAATAATTTAACAACCGGTTCGCCCAGAGTCAGGTTGGCTGTCGTGGGAAGCGTGGCCCAACCGTGTCCTCCCGTGATAAACCTCCCATGATGGCCAACCTGATCTTGGATGGACTGGTTGTTAAATTAGCCCCCTGCTTTCAAAATGGATCCTGGGCGCTGCGCTGCAATGGAGAAATGGGCAATGCAGTGGCCGCCACAAGGGGGGAGGAGGAGAAGGGAGAAGAAAGAGGGAAGGTGCCTTTTCTTTCCCTCACGCCGGCCGCTTCATTGCCTGTTTCTCCATTGCAGCATCCAGGATCCACTTTGATAGTTGTGGGGTGGTGGTGGTAATTTAACAACCTGTTTATTTGAACTGGTGCGAACCAGCTGAATCCCACCACTGATCTTATTACTTCTTGGTATTGCACAGTAACTTTTCCTCAGTGTCCATTTGTGAAAAAGGGATGTTGTATGTACACAAGTAGATCAGGTTATGGAGTAAAATAGTGGTCCATTTTTAGTAAATGGTGAACTTGCCACTAGGATTCTCGTAAGTATCCAACATGATTTTGTCAATTGCTGCAGTTGTTAATATTCTCAAGATTACACCTCTGAACTTTGTTATAACTCCATCTATTTTTTGTTCTGGGTCCCACATGTTTTCTTGTACGCAAGTTTTGCATATCACACAGAAACCAAGTGTAGCCTCCAGCCTGAAAACCATCTGCATTTCCAGCATAGCACGATGCACAATACAGAACATGCAATATTCTGGATCCCTTGCACCAGGATACTGTGTTGAACCAGGTGGCTAAAAAAATTAAGTGAACCTTAAAGATTTTGGCAATGCAAGAATTACTTTTAAAATGTATTTGTTTTGTTTTTTAAAAAAGAAGAACATTACAAGGTGTTCTTAGTATCATTTTTTACTGAATGTCACAAAAGGTCATCTCCCTAAATGCATGCTGTCCCTGCTTATCCTTTTCTAACAAAATTCTTGCAGTTGGCTTAATGCAGAGAAGGAGGCTTGTGAACTTCTAAATTTGGAACCTACAGTAACAATGGTAAACAATTAGATATCCTCAGAAATCTTTGGACTTTAGTCTCATCATTTATTTATTTATTTTGTCAAGATGCGCACTGTTTGGGACTGATGGAACTTGAAGTTCTTGAGAAACTGAGTTGCCTACTACTAAATAAGGTGAGATTTTTCTGATATATATTCCTGGCTTCCTCAGCCAGCAGTCTGAAAGAATTCTGTTTTGAGTAGTTTTTAAAAAAAACAACAACCAGGACAGGAGCCAAAGAAATGGGCACAAATAGGTTGTTCCAAAGGACTGACATAGCCACTGAACAGCAGTAATTTTTATTACTTTCCCTGCAGTTACAATGCATAGATAGATTTTCAGAATCTCTGTTCAGTGTGCCAAGTCTAAAGGATTGCTTTGGAATGGACTTGTGGATTAGCTTCTATTGAAGTATTGATTTCATTTCTTCTCAAGCAAAACACTTCCTTCCTTTAGCTAACCCATTACAATCCAATGCACTAGATTTCATAATATCCTACTGATGATATGGAGGAGTTCTCACAATGTTTGATGGGGGTGGGTAAATTTGTCCAGTTTATGTCAATGTTCCTTCTGAGGTTCTTCTTATTTAAGCTATTCCAATCTTTGGTCTGCATTACAAAAGATCATTTTTGCTACATGCTGGTCATGCAAAAACATTTCATTCATGTACATGTCTATGGAGATTCTCAGTCATCCAGATCATGGTAGCCAAAAAGGTGCTTTTTCAAGAGACAAAAGGACTTTATTTTTTTCTTAAAGATATTTTGCTTCTTCATTGAAGAAGCTGATGAACTAATGAATTGGAGAAGCTTCTTAGATGAGAAGCAAAATGTCCTGATATTGTGTTTGTGGAGAATTTTGCTGATTTTATCTGTGATGCCTTTGATGTAGGGGAGGAGGGTGATACCGTTGTCCTGTTCTGTGTCTCAGTTTCTGGGGGGTGTCTCCTTTAGGATTAGGTTGGTAATTGTGTTTCTTTGGAATCCTTTGGAAATTAATATGTTAGTGAGGGTGTGTAATTCTGTTCTCAGGTGGTCTTTGTTGGCTAGGCATTTGGTTCTGGAGATGAGGGTCTTGGCTATGGAGTTGATCTGTGCAGGGTGGTGATGGGATTGTGCGTGTAAGTAGTGGTTGGTGTGTGTTTTCTTCCAGTGGATGGTGTGTCCTAGGGAGCCATTGGGTTTTTTGTAAATTAGGACATCCAGGAAGGGAAGTTGGTT